AAAGCAACTAACAAGTCATGACTGTTTCCTGAAACCGTATTGTGGCAAATTGGCTGTTCAACCACGTTGGTTAAGTAGGTGGTGGAGTAATAACTTCTTTTAATGAATCCGTTTGAGATTAATGCTAGATTATTTTGCTATAAATTACGGACAGGGCATCTGATGATTAATTCAAATTTTTTGCAGGTTTTATTTGCTTTTTCTCCAGATTCAATCATAGCCTTGTTCTTATTTACTAGAGCACATACACACATGCTGGTGCTTTAAATCTCTTGACAAAACTAAAATATGTAAATGAAATATATATATATATTAAAGCCGCAGACGGGAGCCCGTCTAGATGACGTGTGGGACACACCACAAAAACTAGCCGACAGACGCTCACCAACTCTAACGCTGGAAACCGGCAGCCATCAGCTTGGCGTGTCACGACCCTTAATGTCTTAGTAAGTGTCTTTCATTTGGCTAAAGTAATTTATCAAAGTCTTTGTCCAATAATCTAATCTTTTCATTCTTTCCTCCTTCCTTCAAGGTTCTCATCTTAACCTTTTGTCACTTCCTTTAAACAGGCAGACGTGAAGAATATCTGTCGTTCACCTGGGGTCACCCATCGATTCTCTGTCTCTCTGCCTGTGTAGGGTACATGGCAACATATTCACTGCACTGCACTGCACTCACAACATCGATCCAGCTGCACACATACACATAGACAAAAAAGTAAAATAAAGCATATTGATTTTTCTTTTTCATTCTCATTACTCTTGCTAAAGCTGAGTCTGGGCACTGCGTTGCTGTCCTCGCCTACACTTTGCTTATTGTGATTTTCAGGGATGGCAAATATGTTCTTTATCTATAATTGTTTCTTTTCCTAGAAAAGCCATAAGAGCTAGTAGAGGGGATCTGATGCATACCATTGACTCAAATAATTTGATTCAGTTCACCGAAAAGATTCATTAACTGATTCACTTGATGGCTCTTTCTGTTGGCGGTGAGTGGCGACGACGAGTGACGGGTGTCTTTTTGAGCATTAAGTGATTCTTTCAATCCCTGCATCCAAATATGCGTACTATAAAGTAGGCGAAAAACAGTATGTGAAAGGTGTGGTAAGTCAGAATTCATAGTATTCATAAACCAGCAGGCACAAATTACACAGATAACCTATTACTTCAGTCAAGATTCTGAAATGGACACTATCCCATGAGGCCACAAGAGAGGAGCTGTGAAGCAATGCAACTGACGCTGTTGGTCACGTGACAATGACATCATGATGAATGTAGTACATCCGGATTTCATTCATACTACCTTTTGTTCTTAATATTGAAATAATAAACTTTAAAATAATATTATTATCTGACTGTAATGTTTGTAGACACTTAAGTATGTTCTTTGCAATTGAATGAAAATGCGTTATAGTTTAAATTTATATATAATGTAATCTCAAATGTAAACTAAGAGGTTTTTTGACCCACTCAAGTAGGACTTGAGCACATATGTATATGTAATTTCATAATTCTATTGTCTTTGAAATATGGTTTAGTGTACTGCTGAATGTACTGATAAGGATTTATGGTAAAATAAAATATAATTTAATGTCATTTCTACTGAACATTGTGTTTCATGCATTTAAATATATTTCTTATTTCACATGTATAGTAATAAGGAATTCACAATTTAGAACATTGAAAATGTATTTAGTTGAAATATTGAATAACACACAGTTAAAATTATAATCAAGTACATTTAAAATGTTAGTCAACATAAAATAAGTGTAATTTGAAGCACATAATCAAAAGATGATTAAAAAAAATGCAAATTAAAGTACAATTTAAAATGCACTTTTTAAAAGTGTACTTAAGTTTGTAAAGAAACAGTCCTTAAAGTGTACTCTTTTTAAATTCCTTTCATTAAATTAATATTATATTATCTGCAAGGTTGTTTGATTTAAAATATCCTTTTAAGATTTAAAATACAACACAAGTGCACATTTAATACAACTTGTTTTAGTAAAAAATACTGTTTTTGTGCACAAGTTACTTTGCCCTTAAACGTACTCATAATCGAACAGCTGAGGGAATGCTTGTGAGAACACACTTTTCCACGTAGTTACCCATTGGCTTCATTCATTCATATTAAATGCTTATGTCATTTCCACTGGAATGATCTCGTGAGTTTAGCGGTTGGGCATGTTGCAGTAGTGTGCGAATGATTCTACCCTGAATCATTTGTGCTGTGCATCAGCAGACAGCTGTCCTTCATCAATATTAACTGATTTGCATGGCTACACAGCCCCCCCTGTGGCCTGGAGGATGCCCCTGTGGAAACACTCGTACCCTTCTGCATCGGCTTTGCATCCTTAGCTTTGTCCCACCTGCTGATACCATCATAACTTATTCATTAAACACCTGCTAGTGTTTGATCCTCAGAGGGGGAGCTTGCCGTCATTGCTTACTATTCACCGTCTTTATTTGTTCCCTTCTTCTGACTTAATGTCTCATACTTTGCAGAGCTCCAGCTCAGGAGGGTGATGTAAATGTATCCCACTCAGACGGATATTCATTTAGTCATTCAAAAGCGGACTGGGCTTCTGACTGCATGTAATTCTGAAAACCTCATTATCCTCTTTGCACGACTCCCGTTCCACATTCACCTGCCTCTCTCCCAGGGATGTTCCTTTCAACCGCGTAGAATTTTGCAACAAGACGGCTCGCCTCTGTGATACATTTGAAATATTTCCATCTTTCCAAGGAGAGGTGGTGAGAGTGGTGTAATGAAATTAGAGAGTGCAGAGACTTGACAAATTTGTCAGCGCTGTGGCGGATTTCAATTACAGTAGGTCTGATTTCTCGCGTGGTTTAATTAAAACACAGATGGTGGGATGGGGAGCAGATCTGGAGAGACAGGGATATCTGCAGGTCGGAGAAATGGGCATGCCGAAAGATAAGGCCGTGCTGAAAGGATTCTCATTGGTGAAAGGAGCTTCTTGTTGGCCAATCATCGTTAACCATACATACACTCACCTAAAGGATTATTAGGAACACCATACTAATACTGTGTTTGACCCCCTTTCACCTTCAGAACTGCCTTAATTCTTCGTGGCATTGATTCAACAAGCATTCTTTAGAAATGTTGGCCCATATTGATAGGATAGCATCTTGCAGTTGATGGAGATTTGTGGGATGCACATCCAGGGCACGAAGCTCCCATTCCACCACATCCCAAAGATGCTCTATTGGGTTGAGATCTGGTGACTGTGGGGGTCATTTTAGTAAAGTGAACTCGTTGTCATGTTCAAGAAACCAATTTGAAATGATTCGAGCTTTGTGACATGGTGCATTATCGTGCAGGAAGTAGCCATCAGAGGATGGGTACATGGTGGCCATAAAGGGATGGACATGGTCAGAAACAATGCTCAGGTAGGCCGTGGCATTTAAACGATGCCCAATTGGCACTAAGGGGCCTAAAGTGTGCCAAGAAAACATCCCCCACACCATTACACCACCACCACCACCAGCCTGCACAGTGGTAACAAGGCATGATGGATCCATGTTCTCATTCTGTTTACGCCAAATTCTGACTCTACCATCTGAATGTCTCAACAGAAATCGAGACTCATCAGACCAGGCAACATTTTTCCAGTCTTCAACTGTGCAATTTTGGGGAGCTCTTGCAAATTGTAGCCTCTTTTTCCTATTTGTAGTGGAGATGAGTGGTACCCGATGGGGTCTTCTGCTGTTGTAGCCCATCCGCCTCAAGGTTGTGCGTGTTGTGGCTTCACAAATGCTTTGCTGCATACCTCGGTTGTAACGAGTGGTTATTTCAGTCAAAGTTGCTCTTCTATCAGCTTGAATCAGTCGGCCCATTCTCCTCTGACCTCTAGCATCAACAAGGCATTTTCGTCCACAGGACTGCCGCATACTGGATGTTTTTCCCTTTTCACACCATTCTTTGTAAACCCTAGAAATGGTTGTGCGTGAAAATCCCAGGAAATGAGCAGATTGTGAAATACTCAGACCGGCCCGTCTGGCACCAACAACCATGCCACGCTCAAAATTGCTTAAATCACCTTTCTTTCCCATTCTGACATTCAGTTTGGAGTTCAGGAGATTGTCTTGACCAGGACCACACCCCTAAATGCATTGAAGCAACTGCCATGTGATTGGTTGATTAGATAATTGCATTAATGAGAAATTGAACAGGTGTTCCTAATAATCCGTTAGGTGAGTGTATATGTCCACTGCTTTGCATAAACACATCCAAGCACAGATCTAAGCAGGTGCAAAACAAATGCTGATCATTTTTAAAGCCTTCTTTGCGCCACAGCGCCTCACCCTGCACCCTTTTGTGCTACCAAGTACTTCTTATGTCACGCATGAAGTTGCACAATGGAGCTGTCACCGGCAATGAGTCTCTAAATAGCATGTTCTGCTTTATTAGTCACAGTTAACATTACTGATGAGGGTTTGCGCTATGCATGTAGAACCGTATTGTTCTCTGAAACTTCCAGAGAAGAGACTTAAATGGCCAGCCAGAAAGAACTATAGATCGAGTGGGTGAGATGTGAACTATTTAAAGTCACAGTTAATTTTTTTTTCTTTTCCTAAAGAAACAGGATGTTCAAAGGGAGAAAATACACGATTTTATCAATTAGTAATGAATTGGTTAGAGATTAAATTTCCACGTGGTTTGTGATGTGAATTTTTGTGCTTTCTAAATTTAAATTGTGAACAATATCAGAAACATTGCATTCACCGGTAGACGATTGACAAATTGGTGTCATTTTTACAACGCAAATGAGGGCTCGTCTTGATATCACTCTTAGAACGAGCAAATCTAAATTAATTATGAGAATCCAGCAGACAGCCCTCCCATTAATAGTGAAAATTTAAGTGCCCTTAGATTAGTTTCATCACAATGCATTTAGAGGTTTTAATTCAGTGGAGTAAAACTGATTCTTGCAAGTACATTAAAAAGAGGAGAAATCGGAGTGTGGCATCACTTACGTTGAATGTCAATAGTGACACTGGTCTCTTTCCCGTTGGGCACGGCCTTGTTGGACGCCCGACAGATGATCTTCTGTCCAGATTCGATGTTGGAGGCTGAAATGTAGAGGGTGCTTACGGTGCTCTCCCTTCGCCCATCTCGAACAAAAGCCTACATGAAGAGAATGAAGTAGTTAAATTGGATAGGAACGATCCACACTCTTAAACGCCACCTATATACAACCTTTCAGGGGTTTCCATCATGGGATCATTTTATGGATTTAGTTTTAATTAATCACGTTTGTCTTAATTCATATTTTATTTGAGAATAAGAATTGAACAGCTCATAAACATACCTTTTTTTTCTTTTATTTTTTAAATAACCCATAAAACATTAAAAAGTATAAGGAATAATTGAAAACATTTCTCCTTTTTAACATGGAGGGTTCTTTAAAATTTAGTCAAGAACACTAGGATTCCAAATACAAGATTTTTCCCTAAGAGTGCAGAACAGCATTTCAGTGCCTTTATTTATTTATGAAATAATTAGACATGTGTTTCTTTAATTTGTATATTAATCATAAAACTTAATATAATTTTAATAAATTATTTAATAATTAAATCATTTTAAATAAATGAATTATACACCCTGCCTATGGATGTTATTGAATGGAAAGTTGAGGAAAAGCTTAACTGGTGATTTTTTCAGTTGCAGTCATGAGCGTGGAGGGTGAAAGACGGCACAAAACAACATCATTCAAAATCAAACCCATGGCTGGGATAAAAAAATAAAAAACTTCCCCCCCAGCTGTCCACAGGAAACGGAGACAAACAGTACTCTGCTCATGGTGTCTCTGCACATGGACCGATTGTTTTTTGGGAGAAAACAGCATGTTTGTGGGCTCCTTTGTGCAGTTTGAGAGTGAAGCTTTGGTGCGTGGCATGTTGTACACCACAGAAGAAATCAATCTTCTTTTCCAGTGGTCATAGTCTGTGCTAGGCCTTGCCTGCCCAGCGTAGAGCTCCATCTGGAAGCGCTCGACAGAATCCACACTCTCTGTCACATAGCAATGACTCACAGAGAGGGAAGAGAGATGGTAACCAGCATGGCCAACACAACAGTCACCCACCAGAATAAATTGGCCATTGCAGCAGGCACTCTTCCTGGCTTGTGTCGCAGACATGAGAGATGCACCATTATATTCACTATTTCTTCATATCTTACTTTGTCTTTCTCATTAATTCTCTTTTTCATCGATTCTCAAAGCTGCTGGTTCCAAGGTCAAGGTTTGGGTGGACAAGCAACCCCATAAGGCAAAACAAATTCATTAAAGGGGACCTATTATGGGGACCCAACACGGGAAAGCTCATCCGGCCCGGACATGGAAAGGATTGACAGATTGATAGCTCTTTCTCGATTCTGTGGGTGGTGGTGGATGGCCGTTCTTAGTTGGTGGAGCGATTTGTCTGGTTCATTCCGATAACGAACGAGACTCCGGCATGCTAACTAGTTACGCGGCCCCGAGCGGTCGGCGTCCAACTTCTTAGAGGGACAAGTGGCGTTCAGCCACGCGAGATGGAGCAATAACAGGTCTGTGATGCCCTTAGATGTCCGGGGCTGCACGCGCGCCACAATGGGCGGATCAGCGTGTGCCTACCCTGCGCCGAGAGGCTGTTTCCCATCAACGAGGAATTCCCAGTAAGCGCGGGTCATAAGCTCGCGTTGATTAAGTCCCTGCCCTTTGTACACACCGCCCGTCGCTACTACCGATTGGGTGGTTTAGTGAGGTCCTTGGATCGGCCCCGCCCGAGCTCCTCGCTGGGTTCTCACGGAGCGTCAAGAAAACGATCAAACTTGACCATCTGGAGATAGTAAAAGTCGTAACAAGGCAAGGAAAAATGCAAGGAAAAACAAGGAAAAACATGCTGTTCATGTCTTTAAATATAAATGAGAAGAGGGCGGAGCCTTTACAGCTGGTGCCTCAGAAACCCTTCCAAAAACTAAAACATCCGGGGTGCGTTTCCAGGAAGCATTGTAAGCCTAAGTTCATCATAGACCATTGGTGGCAATAGTTCTACGATCAACTTACGATGCTTTTGGGAAAAGTAGCCCAGTTTGGTTTTGATTATCATCTCTAAGGCGGTCATGCTCACGTGACATGGCAGTTCTTCATCATCATGAAAGTTTAATATCTGCATGTGCTTTAAAGCCATATCAGTCTAAATTTCTGATATATGGTTTTATGAGCGCACACATCCGAAGCACGCGCACAAGTGAGTATTAAACCAAGTTCTTTTCCACGTTTTATTGTGCTTAAACTTTCAAATACACTTGTGTCAAAATCACACAAAGTTCACATAAAGCCATTAGATCTGTGCATTAAAGTGAAAGCAGTGTAATATACAGTTCCTACAGCTGCTGTTAATATGAACCAAACAACAAAAGAAAAACATAAAATCACTCACTGCTCTTGATTGAATCATTTTATAGCTTTAATAAGAACACTTACTTGAATGCTGCTGTTAAATGATCTGGCGAGGAGATAAACATGGCAGACTGTGTACAGCTCACTGAGGGCGGAGTCTATGCTAATAGGGCGGAGTCTGTCAGCAGTCGTGGGCGGGGTTGTGACGTCACATTGCATAGAAACTGTAAACAGCTTATTCTGAGACACTGCTTATGATTTATGGGTAATTAAAAAAGGAGTGGGTGGATTTTCACCAGTATAGGGTGGTTGTGTACACACAATGCCGACACATATTTATGTTCAAACATGATTTAGAAAATTCTAAGTCAAAAATTCGGGTGCTTAAATTAAATACAATACATCATATCCTATATGTAAACAAGAAATTGTTAATTAGGCTATTACTTTATTGCAGTTATGTTTTCAAAGCATGTGTGGATGGATGATACTACAAAAGACCATTTATCAAAACAAACAAACAAAAAATAATAAATTAATAAATAAACCTCACAAGGGAGCATTTGGACCCCGCTAAAGGGTTCACACTTCAAACCAAAACTGCTCCCTTGTTTATATGTGCAAGGAATAATTGACAACGGGCTGCATATTTCAAGACATTTGTCAGGTTTTGTATTACTAATTTCTTACGCATATCTCATCCCCCGCTAATTCCAAAACATAATTTTAGAGCTAAAAACAGAGGCATGTAGCTTTTAAGTTGCTAAATTACTTTGCAGATAAAATCGTCAGATCAGTGCTGACAACATGTTTCTGTTCTGTAGAACGTCAGATTCAAGCATTCAACAGATATATATATATATATTAGTGCTGTCAAACGATTAAAATATTTAATCGCGATTTATCGCATTAATGTCATAGTTAACTCGCGATTAATCGCATTTAATCGCACAGTTTTATCTATTCTAAATGTCTCTTGATTTCTTTTTGTCCCATTATTTTTTCTCATTTTAATGCTCTTATCAACATGGAAAAGTGGATCGGCTTGCTTTGTGCAAATGTTTTTTATTGAAAACAATATTGGCATATACTGTGTTCAATTTCACCCTAACATTCTCACTTGGAGCAAATAATCTCTCAATGTAACACTGTCCATCAATAAAAGGGTGAAAGAAATACTGACGAGGTCCTGATATTGACGAGGGGACGGAGAATTTGCATCAGCTGTGTGTGTGTGTGTGTGTGTGTGTGTGTGTGTGTGTGTGTGTGTGTGTGTGCTGGCCATCATCAAGTGGTATTTCAGACTGGACGTGCTGCGATGATGATAGCTCAGTTCACAACGACAAAACACACAGATCACTTTGGTCTTGTCAATGGAAACATATGGCAACTTTTTAAAAGTAAACGTTCCATTCAGAATCTTATTGGCATCCATTTCGGCGTCTCGCGATCGTCATTCACTCAAAACTGGACGTTTTGAACGTTCCTATAACATTCAGAAATAACGTTTTTATAACTTAATGGGAACGTTATGAAAACGTTCTTATAACCTAAAATTGTTAGCTGGGGAAGAGGAGAGATTCGCGATTGCACTGAACACGTTTTAAGTGCAGGCATATTCTCTGAGCGAGCCCAGAGAAATTTCTTACAAGAGCAGCGTGTATCTGAGAGCGCGCGACTCGAGCAGAGAGATTCGTGCTCGGCACATTATATTCCGCGCGCGAGCAGAGAGATTCGCGCTCGCGCATCCGGCTCGCAAGCTCAAACAAGTGTGTGCAGCGTGCCTGTTGTTTTGTTTCCGGTCTAGCTAGATCCGCTTGTGCTTTCAAAACGTCCTCGCGCGGCGCAAGCCATTGAAATGAATGGGTTTCATAGCGCAGCGCCGCGCATGACGTCCTGTTGCAAAAGCATGTGAAAAAAAACTACAAAGTTTGCTAGGCCAAAAAGACCGTTAATCGCGCGATAAAAAAATTAACGCCGTTAAAATGGGTTTGCGTTAACGCCGTTAATAACGCGTTTAACTGACAGCCCTAATATATATATATATATATATATACACACCCCAAAATCTAGCTTTGCACACTGTTTCATGAAAGTGCAATTGCCAGCATGTGAGTGTTCCAGTAAAATGTCTCTTCAGCCAAACCCCCACAGAAGCTTGTGGCCTTTTAATGCCAAAAGCACTCACTTGCGTGGGTGGCCAGTCAAGACCCAATCTGTGTCTCTATAAGACCATGTATTAATGTCATCAGCTCTCCAAAGGAATCCAGAAGAATAATGTACTTTTGAACCATAATAGTCACTCACTAATAATTAGTCACGTCATTGCAGAGGCCAGTGATAGGGAGCTTGCTAATACTAGTAATTACTAACTCATTTTTTCTTTTTGCCACGGATTTGAAATATAGCAATGAAACCTCACAATCCCACCAACAGAGAGAAAAAAGTGAAAGTGTGTAGAGAGGAGATGAGAGTGGGAGAAAGGGAGGCATAAAGACACACTAAACATGTGCTAAAAGACACACTAAAAATGTGTTATTACAGGTGCCACAAAGGCCTTGATGGAGAATCTTTAAGCAAAACCATATTCCTCACCTTTCTCACAACTGAAAAAGCCTTTTTGGGTCGTCAAATAATCTCTAGTAAAATGCATAGTACATTTCTAAGTGTAGGCCTACTAAGAATTTAAAAAATAATTCCAATTCACCTTGAAATATTTCAAGATTATGCACTGCCTCTACTAGCC